GGCCTACTCTGCCCAGGACTGTCTCTTCAGACTTGGTCACTTAGGATCATCCACAGGTACCTATACTGTAGATAGGTCTTAGTCATCAGGTCTACTCCACTTCCTTGTTGCCTGCTTAGACTCTTGGCACTCTTAGGTGAGCAGACTTAGTCAGCCTGTGTTGCCCTAACAGAAGGTGAAGCACATTGGGGCCACAATCCAGTGTTCAGCACCCAGAAGTACTGAAGCACTGGTGCCTCTAGTGCATTTGGACAGAAAGGGGGGGAAGCCAGAGAAGTATGGGGTTGTATACACCCTCATAAGTTCTGCACCCTGTAGTTTGAACCACACTGACATCATTCATGCAGTGTAGGAAACATAACCTGAAGAGCTTCTGATTTCATACCCAGAGGCTGCACCCAGATGACATTGTCAAGCACATGGTTGACAAAGCCCAGGCACAATGGAGTTCAAGCCCAGTAGGCTTGAGTCAACCAGTGAATGGTCCCCAAAAGGGAGGACCCAAGTGTCCTCTCTGCAAGGGACCAGGTTGCCAAGCTTGCCGCAAGAAATGGTGTGCCAAGTGCTGCAGGGACATGAGAAAGTCCAAAGAGTTTGGTCACAGTGCAGTGGGCTGCCCTGTCCACAAGCCTGAGGCAGAAAAGACTGAAGGAGGTGGGGAAGCAAGAGAAGTCAATGGGTTGGATGAATGGGAGGATGGGGAGAATGGAGGAGATAGGGAAGGGATGGAAGATGAAGTGTTGGAGGTTGGGCAGAGGGATGGGATGGCAGATCAGTCAGCCTGGGGGCAGGCAGGGCAGGTCATGGCTCTGGGTGGGACAGCAGGAGGAAAAGGAAAGGGTAAGCAAGTTGAAAGGGGGGGGCACACTGAGGCATTTGAGCAGAATGTCAAAGTCAGCATGATGGCTGGACCATTGATGCAAGCCTTCCATGGTCCATCCCCACATGGGCTGTACTGTGAAATGGATGGCAGATGGGCAGCTACTCTGGAATGCCAATGGCATGTGATGGAGATGGAGAAGATGCTAGAGATGGTGTTTGGACTGATTGTGTTCACCTCAGTAAGCAGCTAACTACTAACACAATGACTTTTCTCTAACTCCCACTTAAGACACAGGTCCACTGGTTCTCCCTGCAAGTGTCTCCCACTGGAGGGAAGCTGTGGACAAGGATGAGCCAATGGCCAAGTCATGTGGGCTTGGAGCTGAGCTCTGACCTTGGGATGAAGTTTGAGAACATCACCTATGCAAAGTTCCTCGAATCGCAGCAGGGGACATGGATCTGTCAGGGAAGGGAGGGTCTGGTGCAGGTCAGAAAGGATGAGTCATTGATCTGCCTGCTGGGCAGAGTGAACGAGGACAGGTGCCAGGTAGTTGAAGAACTGGGCAGGGCGCTGCCTGTTGTGGTTTGAGACCATAAGCAAGGATCAAAGCATCCCCTGGTGCAGACTCCATCCCCACTCCTCCCACCATCATTGCCTCTGACTGGTAACTTTGTGATGCCTACTCCCCAAAGCTCATCCCAGAGGAGACAACTGGCCATAAATGATGGATCCCCAGCTCCGGTACACCTGAGGAATGCCAAACCTGGGCCCAGGATGGTGGAGGATGTGAAGCTGAGCAACCCTAAGTGTCCACACTGGGGTAGTGGAGTGGTTACACTCAATGCCGACAATTTGCCGGATGTGGAGGACATGATCAATGGCGTTGCAGCAGCCATGCCAATGGCAATGGACTGGGAAGGCACCATTGACCTGACTTTGCCACTGCCAGAGCCTGCACCCATCACTGTCATCCTCCCCTGCCCAACTTCTGCTCCTGGAGGTGCTGGACAAGATGTGGCCTGGGTTGTGGACTTTTAATGAAGTCACATGCAACATCACCCACATCTGTAGCTATACAGACAAGGCTACACTAGGCCACATTCTTTGGGGGCAAGCCTTCAAGGAGGTGTATGGATTTGAGGGAAAGTACAAAACTTGGTATGAACATGCCAAGTTGTTGGAGTCTGCCAGCCTGAAGAAGCTCATCAAAAGGTTCAGCAAATGGCCAGGGAGTACATGGGCGAGGTTCTGGCTGCATGCCCAGAGGAAGAATGACAGATGTCTGAAGGATGGCAAGGTGGAGATGGATGAGCAGGCTTGGTGGGTGGAGTCAGATGAAGAGGGAGAGTAAGAGAAGGGCCATGAACCATAGTCATTGGTGAATTGACTGTGTAGAAATACAATAGACGGGCTTGGAGGTGATGTCCTCCAAGTCCTTTGTTTTCTTTTTTTTGTGTAGTAGTATAAATTAATAATTACATGACATCTAGATAGAGCACTAACTAATTGTATCTATCGGACTTACATGTTCGGTGTTAGGCAGCACCGGCTACTGAATTGCTGAGCAATGCACCTGCCCTGCCCGCTTGACGCGGAGCGGGATTAAATTACTAAGCTTAGGACCCTGACATCTGTATCCAGAGTCCAGAGTGCAGATGTGCCCCAAAACCTGGATGCCCTCATAAGCGGACCCTAGCACCGCCACTCAGGGCCCACAAAATGTTTTGGCACGGAGGTCGTGACTTGTGCAACTCAAGGGCAATTGGCCAACATGGCGCTGAATTCCTCAGTAACTTCCCTATGGTCATCACATCGACAAAGAACAAAAATAAATCTTAACTCTATTTCTTCTCCCACGATTCCTGTCCCACTTGTAGCTCCGACCGATGCGTTGCAGCCTGGACCCGACTTGGTACCTCCGGAGATCGCAGAGGGATTACCTACCGCCCCTGGCACCCCTCCTTCTCAACCACCGACGCCTCCACCTGAAACGAGCGCCCCGTTTAACTTAGCTCAAGCAACTGTTACCGATTTACCCGTGAGCTCGTCCCGGAAGAGACCTGCCCCGGTCGCTAAAGCGAGCAGTTCAAAACGACCTAAGCCGACACCGATCCAGGAGCGCCCACCTCCATCAGTCCGATTATCTCAATTAGGCGGCGTACAGGCACAGATTGACCAGCTTTTGCGTGCCATTGGACGACCGCTTCGGTTCCCAGAGCTGTACCTCCGACTAGGAACCAAACCGCCGAGAGGAGTGCTGCTGCATGGTCCACCCGGATGTGGAAAGACTCTGTTGGCGAACGCTGTCGCTGGGGAGCTGGGCGTCCCGTTCATACCCGTGAGCGCGCCGAGTGTGGTGGCGGGGACATCTGGAGAGTCGGAGAAAGCGTTAAGAGGGTACTTCGAAGAGGCCGCAGTACGTAGCGATCATACAGCACTTCACGTGTGCTAATATTACGAGCAGAAACTCGCACCATGCATCTTATTCTTCGACGAGATAGATTCCATCACACCGAAACGAGATAACGCACAGCGGGAGATGGAGCGTCGGATTGTCGCTCAGCTGCTGACCTGCATGGATGGTACGCTAAATGCTCTTCGTTGTATGCTCGCTGACCTGTCTCAGAAATGTCGTGGGAGAAGCTCGACAACAAGCCTGTCATATTCATCGCCGCTACAAACCGGCCTGATTCAATCGATTCTGCCTTACGTCGACCAGGACGATTCGATCTCGAGATTGAGATGCCCATACCGGACGAGAATGCTCGAGAGCAGATTCTGCGCGTACAAGCCGAGAAGCTCACCTTATCGGGTGATGTGGACTTCCGGATGCTAGCCAAGCTCACACCGGGTTTCGTCGGTGCTGATCTAGAAGCGCTCATTACTGCTGCTGGAGAATGCGCTGCCGATCGGATTTTCAGCGAGCTTATCCAAGTGCCGCCTACTGTCCCAATTGTCGAAGAAAATGCAGAAGGCGACGTGTCAATGGATGATGCACAGCTCGTTCCCGCAACGAAACCTAACGTGTCATCAACATTCTCCTCAATATTCTTCTCCATCCCGCACCCACTCTCACCCGAAGCGCTCGCCGGCCTTTCACTCACTCCGGCAGACTTCATGACAGCGATCCCCCTGATCACGCCTTCGTCAAAACGCGAAGGGTTCCCCTCACCACCCAGCACCTCCTGGTCCGATATCGGCGCCCTACATGGCGTACGACAAGAACTGCATATGGCGATCGTGCAGCCTATCCGACGGCCGGAGGTGTTCAAGCGTCTTGGGATCTCTGCACCGCGCGGTGTGCTCCTCTGGGGTCCGCCGGGGAACGGGAAAACCCTCCTAGCCCGGGCGGTAGCCAGCGAAGGCCGAGCGGGGTTCATCGCTGTCAAAGGTCCTGAATTGCTGAACAAGTACGTCGGAGAAAGCGAGCGCTCTGTGCGCGCGGTGTTCGCCCGCGCTAGAGCTAGCTCACCATGTGTCATCTTCTTTGACGAGATTGACGCGCTCGTGCCTCGCCGGTCGGACAAGCTCTCGGAAGCAAGTACAAATATCGTTAACACCCTGCTTGCGGAGCTCGATGGGCTCTCGCAGCGGAAAGCGATTTACGTGATCGGAGCTACCAACAGGCCGGATATGATCGATCCTGCCCTTCTCCGACCAGGGAGGTTCGACAAGCTCGTATATGTCGACTTGCCGAAGAGTGATGAGAGGGTGGAAATCGGCCGGACGGTGGTGCAGAGAGAGAAAGTTCCTGTCAGGGGCGGCCTAGACGGCGAGGATTGGAAAGCCGTTGAAATGCTGTTAGCGGCCGATCAGTCAGATGGGATGAGCGGCGCCGACATCACTGCGCTCATTACCGAGGCTGCCAGTACAGCATTACGGTATGCTTTGGGCGAAGCGATGCAAAATGGAGATCAGGAACTACATGGACCGAGTACGGAACAGTCTCTTCGGGAACAAGCGGAGGCGGAGGGCATCTATGTGGAGCGACGGCATTTTGAGGAAGCGTTTGGGAGGGTTGGGAGGAGTGTGGGGGAGAGCATGAGGCACAGGTATGAGACGCTTAGAAGGAAGTTTGAGGGGGTGAGAGTGAGAGGGAAGGGCATTGAGGAGGATAAGGATGGGGTCATGCTGGATGAGGAGTAAGGAGATGCACAGCTGACACGATATCGATCACATGAGTCCATATCTATTTAGGGGTTTTGTAGTTCGGAGAAACATTTGTGTAGGTACTGCATATGTTTAACATCGTTCAGACTCTGGTCTTGATTTGGTCAGTTCCAATGGCAATTCGCAACTCTGCACCCTTCCCGTCTTTGTACTTGATCAGAATATTACCGAAAGCGGTCGTGTACCCGACCACAACTCCAACGGCGAGAGCCTCAACCCCAACCGTAGCATCTCACCAGGTTGGTACTGGGAATATTATTATCAGTGAGAGTTCACAGGAGTCACCTGGACACGTACCAGAGGCTTGGAGTTGTTTAGGGATGGCATCGGTCCTAGACCGGACTTTGAGGACTGCGGTCCGGCCAATCCAGTCCTGGACTGGACCGTCTGAGGACCGGACCATCACAGGACTGGACAGGGACCAACTATTGCCAAAAATCTGGGACCATCCAGGACCGGACTGGACTGGACTGGACCATTCCCCACCTTATGTGAGCTCTCATGCGCTGTAGGACTTTGTCATGTATCCTCAGTGTATGTATGTGAGGATATGTGACAAAGTCCTATAGTGCATGAGAACTCATGTAGGGTGGGCAGGAGGTAGACAGGGAGTGATGTCTCAACCTTTTCTTGAGCTCTTATACATACAGCACTTGTTGGCCCCCATATCGATACATTGACACTTGGATTATTGAGTATCCTCAGACCGCATCGCTCCGGCACGAGAAGTGCAACATTACTGATCTCCAACGTTGGCAACACATCACCGCCTTCGATAGGTCGTCCAGCAACTATATGGGGTAGCTGGTGGAGGAGAAGGTTCAGTGGACACACGATGACAACGCAGATAGCTTCCTCGGGATGTGAAGCATTGCCTACTGGGGTAACTTCAGCCTTCGAATGTGAACCGTGTCGGGTTGTCTCCTTGTCAGGTGATGACAACTGGCTGGAAGATGAAGCAGGGAGTCAGTCCATATTACCGTTCATTGCCGATGTCAGACCCATGCACACACCGGATAATCACCATGTTTCCAGGGAGACGGTCAGCATATATGTATCATGGGACTAGCTGATTCCTTACTGAGTTATCATCATTAATGTGACCTTTTGACAAATTATCAGCACCAGCTTCTCATATTCCTCGGGCACCGCAGCCTCTTCGGTCTTCCCATCCCGTATTCGTCGGCCCCTCACGCTATCCCCCTTCTCACGACCCACCGCACCAGCACGAGATGTCATCTAGGATACGGCTCCGCATCAAGGCATGGCTCAGAATACGGTTAGGGTCTTGACACGTCTACAATGTGGTTCGACATTGGCTACTGTTATCTATGTGCTCGCTTTCAGTCGTCTCCTTCCTGCCTCCTTCCGCTTGTGTACTACTGGTCCACGGGGCTTCTTGAGTGGTGGGGCATTGACCTGGCTGTGAGCTTGGAGCTCAGAGAGGCGGATAGGCGGATATGGCATGTGATAGGTTTCTTGAAGGGAGGAGACAAGGTATGCATCGTCCATGTACAGACCAGGATCCACGTTGAAACGGAGACACAGTGCAATAGCATGTGCACAGGGGATGAGCATCTGTTGGAAGTCACGACAAGTACAGTAGCCGCTTCGGAGTGTGGGCTCAAGGAGGACTTCATGCTCATCCCCTTCTGGATCAAGGGTGGGCCGGACAAGAGCAGCAACAGTACTTGATGGGAGGAGCTTGTAGCGACGAGCTGCAGTACAGCGCTGGGCAAGGGTTGCTTGGTAGAGAGGGACATAGCCAGCAGGTAACTGACTTGCTCGTTCTTTCCGCTCACAAAACCACTCTGCTTGCTTTGTCCAGATCCGGTCAAGGAGATGGAGTACTGGAAACCCACGCGCTTCAACGAAGACAGCATTCATGATCTCTGCGGCATTTGAGCTGACTCGATTGAATCTTGGGGAGTTGAATGCGTACTCTACCCAACAGGTCGGATCGATTGCAGCAAAGTAGTCACCAGCTTCAGTGGTGAAGTCACATCGGATTCGATCAAGGTTCTCCTGGTATGCCTTCTCAGTCTTTGAGCGGAAAAGTCATCGGGTATAGCTTTCAATTGTTGGACCATATCGGCTAATGGCATTTGCGCAGATATGTTGTGCACAATACGATTCATCAACAAGCGGGAGCTCTTCTTGTATTGCCTTGAGGAGCCCCTTTTGACGGTCAGATATGAGGACTGTGGTTGGGAGGTTGAGTCCTGGAAGAGCTTCACGGAGTAGTCGGAGGAATCTCCCCCATATCTCCATATCTTCTTTTGGTGCCACCGCCCAAGCAAGCATGAGAAGGTGATCTTCGGCATCATATGCAACTGCAAAGAGGACAATATAGTTGAATGCCGTCTTGGTGAATGTGCCATCTACTGCAACAAAGCGACGCACTGTACGCCATGCATTCTTGGCTGGGGATGGACAGATGAAGAGCAGGCTGATACGATTATTGGAGTCGAGGGTAAGGTCCACTGTTGCATCAGGATCACATGCTCGCAGGTGGTTTGCATATGCCGGAAGTTTCTGAAATTCGGTCACTTGCTGTGAGATGGTCTCACCAGCAATGATGCGACGTGCCCGACGTGCTTGCTGCTTGGATACAATAATGCTCTGGCGCTGGAGCATCTCAATGATGGTGGCAGTCGATACCTTCTCTGTGACTGAGAGCGTCTTTCTCAGCTCAGGAACAAGGTAGGTGATTCGGCTTGTGGCTGCTCGAGGCTTGGGTGCAAATGCTTGACAGGTATGTGTCGGAACAATACGTCGCACCACTAACTCCGTCCCATCCTCAACAACTCTGGCACTGAACAGGCACTCCTCGAAGCGGCATCCCCCAGCAAGTACCCCCTTCCTCCTTTCCTTCACACGGTGCGAGGCTGCTTGCTCCTTCGAGTGGTTGATCAGAGCATTTGACGCGTCGAGCAAGGTGTTGAACTTTTGGTTGAGGACAACGGCCATGGTGGTCAGGACAGAGATGAACGAAGATCTGCACGGACTCATTCTGCAGTATGTTGGCGTGTTGTGACATGTCCCGATCCACATCCCTCACCATATTGTAGATGCAACGACACCCTAACCACATTCTGGACGATGGCTTGACGCAGAACCACATTCTAGACGACATCTCGCACCAGCACTGACAGACAACCGCAATTTTTGCCACGCTATCTAGTTCGCAACCGAGCAAAACCACAGGAGACAGGACTTGAAAACACGGGAAACGTCTGACCGCGTGTGGCAGTCACTGACGAGGACGACCCCCAAACTCTAGGGGGTCCTTTGAACTATACTCATGATCTCCCTGGTCTCCATGTTGTACCACACATCCATCGCCGCCACCCACGCGACCTCCCGGAAATCGTCGTAGCTGGGATCGAAATAGACGAGGAGATCCGGATCAGTTTCCTTGATAATTTGGCGGTACGCCTGAACGGCAGCTACAGACTCTGTTTTTGAGAGTCCCTCGGTCAAGAAAAGTGGTAGCCACGAAAGAAGAGCGGCGGGAAGTATGTTGACCTTTTCCCAGTCGATCACGGCCACAATGGTACCGTCAGAGGGCCTGACGATAATATTCCTAGAAATTCCCCTCAGACACAAAGCACGCTAGTTGAAGTGAGAACAAAGCAGCTTTCCAAATCCGGGTGCACTAAACACATCCGGGGACAATCGTCTACAGGGCGGCAAATTCGCGGAAGTCGCTCAAGCAGCGCCTCATAGACTTCTTGGGCGTCTTTCAAGTCCGCCCAATAAGGAAGGCCCTTTCTGTCATTCGGGTCGGCCTGCTTAAGATAATCTGATCGCGTCTGCAAGACCGTCTTCAAGAGGGTTTCTGCATTCTTGAACGTCGTTTCCAGCGGCTTTGTGCTAGGATCGGAGTTGGGGAGTGACGGCGGCCTCAGGGGAGTCAGTCCGCAGCCGCTCTCAATCTGCAGTGAGCCGATTCCTTTGTAGCCGTCCACTTTGTGCAGCTCGGAAATAATTCTGGCATAGTCACGGACAGTTTGCTTTCTGGCCATTGGGGTGAGCTTTGGCCATGCACGATTCAGGCGCATTCCTTCAGACTGGAGAGATTGAGTCAGCACCACTAACGACAAATCTCAGATGATACGCACAATGAACTCCATGACTGAAATGTGATCATCAATTGAATAGGCCAACACCTTGGGTACAGGGATTTGTGTGTGACAGTATACGTGGCGCATCGCTGCAATCTGGGTCCTGCGGTGAGTAGATGCTAATGGGCTTCATGATACTATGAGCGCACCTCCGCCTCAAAGTCCTTGGGGGTATCATGGTTCCTCTTGTGTGCGATCCGTACAATCACTCGGTCCAGACTGGCCAACTTGTGGGGGAGCGACTTTTGACCTTGTACCTGTGTGGCCAGATACACCTGGTTACTTGAGTATAAGAGCGGAGGAAGAGAGGGAAGTGGTAGAGATATCGACATACAATATTGTTCATTCCTTGCTCCTCAACTTGTTTGGCTGTCCACAGAGACCCAGGATAGACGACTGCGACAACAGCTTCGATGGCATCCAGCTGAGCCTTAATGTCCCAGTCCCGACTTTTGATAGCCAAGCACAGTACGTCCTTTGCGCCGTCTCGTTTGTCGAGATCAATGGGTTGAATATCACGCGTATACATCCTTGCAGGTAAGCAAGTACAACTGCTAGTGGGGCGGGGGGTTGTCCTTGTGTCAGAACGGAACAATGCCACGTATCATTGAATTGCTGCCGCGGGGGGAAGAGTTTCTTCGGTCATCGCCACTACAAGCTGATCTGATCCGATCGATTGTGCCTGACATCGACCAAGACGATGCGATCTCGAGTGTTCGACATACACCAGACGAGAATATGCTCGAGTACAAATTATGCGTCTACCAGCCGAGAAGCTCACCTTAAGCTTGTCACGTGACGTGGCTTCCGGATGCTTGCCAAGCTCACACCTGCTTTCGTCGGTGATGATCTCGAAGCGCTCATTAATACTGCTGCTGGAGAATGCGCTGCCGATAGGATTTTCAATGAGCTTATCCGAGCACCGCCCACGGTCCCCATTGTCGAAGTAAATGGAGAAGGCGACGTGTCAATGGATGATGCACAGCTCGTTCCCGCAACGAAACCTAACGTGTCATCAACATTCTCCTCAATATTCTTCTCCATCCCGCACCCACTCTCACCCGAAGCGCTCGCCGGCCTTTCACTCACTCCGGCAGACTTCATGACAGCGATCCCCCTGATCACGCCTTCGTCAAAACGCGAAGGATTCCCCTCACTACCCAGCAGTGGAAATCGGCCGAACGGCAGAGAGAGAAAGTTCCTGTCAGGGGCGGCCTAGACGGCGAGGAATGGAAAGCCGTTGAAATGCTGTTAGCGGCCGATAAGTCAGATGGGATGAGCGGTGCCGACGTCACTGCACTCGTTACCGAGGCTGCAAGTACAGCATTACGATATGCTTTGGGCGAAGCAATGCAATCTGGAGATCAGGAACTACATGGACCGAGTACGGAACAGTCTCTTCCGGAACAAGCGGAGGCGGAGGGGATCTATGTGGACCGACGTCATTTTGAGGAAGCGTTTGAGAGGGTTTGGAGGAGTGTGGGGGAGAGCATGAGGCACAGGTACGAGGCGCTTAGAAAGAAGTTTGAGGGGGTGAGAGTGAGAGGTAAAGGGGTTGAAGAGGATAAGGATGGGGTCACGCCAGTGGATGAGGAGGCTGCGGAGAATGAGGCATGACCACTGTACACTATACATTGTCTACCCTATTGCTTGTTATATAACGCCGACTGAAGCAGGTTCCACTGCGATGTGGTACGATCTTGCGAGGCGAGAGAACAAACCGCAGCAGATCGGTGACTTGACCATCCGAATGAACGCCAAAGTACCAGAGGTTGCCAACTACGAGTGTTTGACAGAACAACCTAGAGTTTGCCGGTCATCTCTGATCAGTAACTACCACACACGGTTAGGTGTTTCCCGGTTTTTCTGTCTCCTGCGGTTTTTCTCGCCGGTCGCGAACTAGATAACGTTGGGGTCGTCTGCTGGCGCGGTGGGTCGCGAGGAGAGGGAGAGCGTTCGGTGCCGACGAATACGGGATGGGAAGACCGAAGAGGCTGCGGTGCCCGAGGAATATATATGAGAAGCTGGTGCTGATAATTTGTCAAAAGGTCACATTGGTCACATTGATGATAACCCAGTAAGGAATCAGATGGTCCCAATTAATATGTATTCTGACCGTCTTCGTGGTAATATGGTGATTAACAATGTCAGGGGACGCAAGTATATCACAGCCCCTGATACCATCGGCAACGAACGGAATAAATTCTCCGGGATTTTGGCCGCGGGGAAGGAACTTTCGATCTGACTCGGAAGCTAATAATTTGCCCCAACCTAATTTTGTGGGTGGGCCGAGAGAGCGCAAAGCTCCGGGCGGGTGGGCAACCATAGGAGTTGTGCTGCTCTTCTCTTGTCATTCTTTTGCGGCATACACATACCCTCCCTCCTCCCTCCCTCCCACCCGCAACCATCATCGACTTGCTCGCATTTCATTCTCTTCAAAAGCCTTGCTCTCTTCAAGGATCGTTCATAGACTCTTAGAATTCTTGAATATTAGACTTCCAGCTCGCGACACGACAGATGGCTGCAACCCCACCCGCAATCCCTGACCACACAGTAGACGGAGAGCATATACATGTCTCCCAGAACATGCAGAAGTATGTCGTCCCCGACTTCACAATCAAGGATCTCCTCGACGTCATCCCTGCACACTGCTTCAAGCGCAACGCGTTCTACTCCTTCCTTTACGTGTCAGTACCTCTCGTGCAGAATGTTGTCTCACACTCAAGATGATATGCAGCATCTGGGACTTCTCCCTCCTCGCTGCCCTCACATACGGCGTGACAAAGGGCTGCGTCTTCCTCCAGACGCTCGACCTGCCCCCATACTACTACTACGGGGCCCAATTCGCCCTCTGGAGCGCGTACTGGTTCGCAGGAGGTCTGGCAGCCACAGGCCTGTGGGTTCTTGCGCATGAGTGCGGGCATCAGGCGTTCTCGGAGAGCAAGACGCTGAACAATGCCGTTGGATTCGTGCTGCATTCTTCGTATGCCCCTTTTCATCCTTCCCGGTTTGTCAGCACTGACGCGCATACAGTCTGGGAGTACCGTACCATTCGTGGCGTATCTCCCACGGGAGGCATCATGCCGCCACAGGCCACATGACGCGCGACCAGGTCTTCGTTCCCATCACACGGTCAGAACACCGCCTACCAGCATTCGACGAGAACAGGGAAGATCGTGAGGGGCGCTGGATCGCCGATAGCAGGCAGAAGGAGCTGAGGGAGGCACTGGAGGAGACTCCGCTTTACCAGGTCTACAAGCTCCTCATCCAGCAGCTCGGGGGCTGGCAGACGTACTTAATAGCCAACATCTCTGGGCAGTTGAGCTACCCTGCGGGCAGCAACCGTAAGTCACCTCATGCGTTCCAGATGCTGCAGGCTAACAGCTTCGTGCCAGATTTCAATCCCAACTCCGTCATCTTCGACGCTCGTCACTACTGGCAGATCGTTGCGTCAGATATCGGGATTGCCCTCTGGCTTGGAGCTTTGGCGACGTGGGCATACTACCGCGGCATTGCCGAAGTTGCCCTGTTCTACCTGCCGATCTATCTCTGGGTCAACCAGTAAGCACACTAAATTTTGCTAGAGAGCAGCACTGACGATTTCACAGCTGGCTGGTGATGATCACTTTCCTCCAACACACCGATCCCCTCCTCCCCCACTACCGGGCTGGTGCCTGGACGTTCCCCCGCGGCGCCCTGGCGACCATGGATCGCACCTTGATGGGCCCCATCGGTGGCTGGTTCCTCCACGGTATCGCCGAGACGCACGTTTCCCACCATGTGCACAGCAAGATCCCGCACTATCATGCCTGGGAAGCAACACGCGCGCTGAAGGCTCGCCTCGGGCCTGCATACATGGAGAGCAAGGAGAACATGTTCAAGTCCTTTTGGGTGTCATACAAGGAGTGCAGGTTCGTCGAGGACAAGGGTGACGTCGTCTTCTTCAAGAATGCTAAGGGGTTCGCCAAGTCCGTCGCGGTCTTCTCGGACAAGGGCATGATCAGCGATTCGGGTGTTGACGTCCAGTAGAGATGTGCCGAGCGAGCGGCGGTTAAGTGAGCTTCGAAGTAGGACGGGGAACAGGAGAACGAGATAGCGAGAGCACTACTCCAAGCCAATGCAATGCAGATTGTCTGCAGCCTATCGTGAGAATTGTGCCCAGTGACTTGGAGCCTGCGCAAGGTGCTAACACACTGCGCATCACGGAACAGTTTAGTCCCAAGTTCACACCTGTCCGCGTTTTCCCGAGCTCCGCCATCAGACCAGCCTTTGCGGTATAAGCTTGGGAGAGAGGTGACCAGCAAGATGAAGAGAGCATAAGGAGGGAAGAAAAGAGCTTGGCATGATGCTATAGCATATCATCGCCAAGGTGCTCTATCAGCGAATGTCCGCATAACTCCTTTCGACAAATACGGATCCAAGAAGACGGGAAAATAACTTGCGGATTAACATCGGTCCAATCTCCTCTTCTCGACTTCTCGGGACGATGGACCGAGTCTCTCGTGGTGCTTTCTTGATTAAGGTTGGAACAATGCGGGGTGCGATTGTGGGGAAGCACGTGGCCGGGCACTTTTACCCCGGAATCGGTTTTCAATCAATGTGTCCTTGTTACCGGTGACCATGCACCATGCGCACTCTTCTCTCGGTCATCTCCGCATCTGCCAATAAGAGCACTTCGGATCGCTCGGGACGACTCTTGTTTCCTACTAGCATTCAGCGTTGGACAAACGAAGTTCCGAACAAGGTTGACTTTCAACGGCGATGTCCCTTTTGGCAAATGCGGTCATATCTCCATGCTCGTTCGAAGATGATGGTGCTTCCTTCTAGCGAGCTATATCGGTTCTTTCCGCATTCTGTTGCGTTCAACTACGGGATGGCTTCCGATAGACTGGCTGCTGTATTGTTGGCTTGGCACGGGGATTCAGGATTCTCGAGTGGGCTCGTCCCGAAGATCCGGCGCGGCATTGAGTGTTTTCCTGCTTCTCTTTCGCATCTTGTGCAAGAGAGATAGGTACATACTTTTTCTCAATGCATCGAGGATGAAGGTCATGGGATACTGTGGAGGTGACTTCTGGATCGGCTTGTCTTCAGAAATTCTACCCCGCATACGTATCAGGCACCAAAGGCGCCTTGACGGACTCCCGTCACACTCAAATACCGTCGCGTTTGTCAACAGTCTCCCACAGGAATCTGCTTAACGATCTCCTGGTATGGCAACACCGCAAGCTACTTTGCCAACCCCGACTGAGGTCTTTGAGGACGAGCACAAGGAGTCGTTTGGCTCTGACGAGGTTGTCGCCGCACATATCGTGGTCAAAGAAGGTGCCGTCGTCGCCGGTGGAAACATCGACTATGCGCGTCTTGAAGCTGAATATAAGTGGAAGGCTTGGAGTTGGAATGCAATCAGGCTCTATATATGCCTTGTCATCCCGTACTGTTGCTCCATGGCGAACGGTTTTGATGGATCTATCATGAGTACTATCAACACGATGAGCCAGTACTTAGGCTATTTTGGCCTGCATGAAGTTGGTGCATCGACCAGCATTGTTTTCAGCATATATAACGTGGTAAGCATTCTATATGTAGCCGCAGACCAACTGTCATCGTGACATCATGTAACAGGGCAACATGGTCGGCGCCCCATTCTCCGGAATTGCTACTGAAAAGCTTGGGCGTCGTGGTGGAATGTTTCTTTACGTGTGTTTCAACCCCCCCATAACCTGACCTGATCTAACTAAGGAAACCTCAGGCATTTTTTGTCTGGATCGGCATTGGCCTAATCGTAGGCGCGAAGACTCAGGCTATGTTCATCGGAGGTCGGTTCGTGCTGGGATTTGGTATTGCGTTTGCTACATGCGCGGCGCCTACCTATGCTACCGAAATCACTCCTCCTACATGGCGTGGTCGTCTAGCGGGTCTATACAATACATGTAAGCCTCTTATAGCAAATGTTTAAGTGTAGATGTTGACTAGGATGGGCCTATATCAGTCTATCAGGTCGGCAGTGTCGTTGTCACTGGCATCATGGTGTCAAGTGTAAGTGAATATATCCTTGGGATAACCGGGTGTTTCTTAGTGGTGCTCAGACGAATTTTACGAGCTCTTGGGCCTTCCGACTCCCCCTCCTGCTCCAGCTGATCCCAGCATGTATTGTTGGCCTCTTCGTTTTCATGCCTTTCATAAAAGAGAGTCCGCGGTGGCTTATGGCCCATGGACGTGAGGAAGAGGCATTGAAGATTATCATCGACTTTCAGTATGTTCATGCCAGTCGTCATTACACGTTGCCCTATTGATCGGACGAACAGTGCTGATGGAGACCCCAATCACCCCATTGTAGAGCTTGAGATGCGCGAAATTCGCGCTTCCCTTGCCGAAGAAGACATGCTAAAGCAAGAGTGGTACGCCCGACGTATCAGGATTGATTCTTGGCTTATGGAATTCAGGTGGGACTGGTCCTGCCTGTGGAAGAACACTGAGTTCCGTTGGCGATCCTGGATGATGGTCATCATGAGCTTCTTTGGACAATGGTCAGGCAACGGTCTGGGCTACTTCACACCAGTGTAAGAGGCTCATTCCAATTCTATCCACTAGTACCTGATCACCGTTTTCCAGACTGTACGAGAACGTAGGAATCACGGATCAGAACCGCCGCGTGGTCCTTAGTTTCATTGGGACAGTGAGAAATAGTGCTCAAGGACCATTCTTACTTCTGACCAACCCGCTTAGTTCATCTCATGGTTCGGTGCCGTCTCAGGAGCAGCTACCACAGATTGGTTCGGTAGGCGTGGGCGTCTCATTTGGGGCACTTTGGTGCTCTGCATTACACTGGCCCTAATCACCCTTCTCACTGGTCTATATGGATCAACCGGCGTTCACAACATAGCGGGTTCTAATGCTGCCATTGGTGCGGATCTGGCAGCTTTTGTCTGTGCAATTGCTAATGATAACCTCTAGCTTTCATCAATTTGTTCAGTGGCTTCTTTTCATTTGCCTACACACCGTTGCAATCCCTCTACTGTGCGGAGTGTTTGCACTATACTCAGCGCGCAAAAGGCATGGCAATGCATGGGTTCCTCGGCAATGTTGCCCTGTGAGCATGTCTTCGAATTTATTGACGTCACACTCACTTTTCGCAGTTTCGTCAACACTTATGGTATTCCCATTGCCCTCGCGAATATTGGGTACAAGACATACCTCATGTACGTTGGCTGGACAGCTCTTGAAGTTGTTGTCTGGTACTTCTTTGCCGTCGAGACAAGAGGGTTCACTATCGAAGAGCTCGACGAAATTTTCAAGTCGCCCAACCCAATAAGGGCATCCATGCGACGCGTCAAGCTGAAGGTCAACCGTGGTCACCTTGAGAAAGTTGACGGAGAGACCGATACACCCTCAGCAGCTTGAAAGATAAGTTGATACAGAACGGAGAGTTCTCTTGCACGGGTTTCCGAACTTGCTCGGCCTGCACTTTACGAATAACGAATATGACAAGTTTTAACCCTTTTGTTTGGCGAAATTTCTCCACCACCGGAGGCACATAATCAATGATGTGTTCAAGATCTTAAATGTGTTATGCAAACCGCGACAGGTGTTATTAAGTAGGTATAGAAAGAAGTCCCACCTCTGGGCAGGTATAATAGCCAAGGAATAATCCACCGCCTTCTACTTCTCCAGCATCTCTGTACCCGGCGATACGCGTCGCTGCCTCAGGTCTCCTGAGGGCGATGCAGGTGGATCGGCAAAGTATTCTTTCAAGCGACCGTGTGCTTGTCGCTGTAGTTCGTTCGTGACCGTTCTCGAAATCTGGAATAGAGGTCCAGCAAGATTGAGTTGGAAAATGGCATAACTAATGTAAAATTTAGCCGAAGGTACGCGTAGGAGAAGTGACCATAAGTACTTACGCTGCAGCCCCTGCCATTATAATAGTGAACAAGTAGATAGGATGGAACAAGACGAATATCGCTTCATTCCATCCAAGCAGGAGAATGATGCCATACACCCAGTAGGGAATCTGTGCAATACTGGATACAATGCTTCGCTTGGCCTCCACGAAGTATGCATCCGCTTCTCGTCGGAATTTGGACGTAATATCAACTTGCTTGGCCTCAGATAAGATAAGCAATGACTCTTCGAATTCAAATGGCTCGTCGTTGCCATCAATCCCGGAGAATTCCTCCTCGGGGGGAAATGCAGGAAGCAGGTCTGGGTTGCTCGGTTTGATACGAGAATAGACGGTGATCAGCTCAACAGTCTGAAGCAGTCAGAACGAAATCGAAAGACAAGGCACATACGCTAACCTCGTCTCTGGACTTGCGGAAAAGGCCATCGATATCATCATTTTTGCTCCATACTCGGGGAACACCGTTCTCATCATATCGGAACTTCTCCTCGAAGCTGGCTCGCAGCTTGGATAGCAGCAAAGTCTCAGTAGTATGCTCGTCGACCTTGACCTTTAGCGCGCGCCAGGCACGCTGACGAAGAGTCAAAAGCGATTTTGCATCTTCGTCCGGGGTGGAACCGAAACCTGTGGAAAGTCAGATATACAGGTGTACAGAATTAGTTTGTGAACGCACTCTTAGCTTTTTTCACATACGCCTGCTCAGCTTTCTGGAGAGCAGCAGAGTAGACAGTTAGGACGGTATCCCACATCTTGGGCCCAGGTCTGCCCAGCTCCAAGTCGACCTTCTCCCCGATCTCGCGCTTGAACGTACGCTGCCCACTGAATGAGACAGTGTACATACCCATAAAGAGAAGTGATATACCTCGATAGAATTGACCATCTTCTTCATCTCGTCTGACTTGCTGAGCGCAGTAAGTGAAGTAAGGTCCTCATCTAGCTGCTGGAGTTCAAGGTCGTAATCCCAGTCCGCATCCGGAATAAGAACCTCTGCTCTGTATGAATGGCATGCTCGACTGTTATAATGCCGCACTTACCGTCAGCACCTTCCTTAAACGCGGTCTGCGACTTTGTTCGAGCATCGCCCACCACAGTCGCAAAGTCATACCCATCCTTCCTTAACCCTTCTTCCAACTGAACCTTGAACAGAGCAAGGGAGCTCTTATGGAGATTCTTCAGCTGAGCCATGAAGAGAGGTTGAAGATACGCATGAAGGGCGGCAGTGAGATCCTCGCGTTTCGACTTGTACACTCCTGCGTGATAGCGTGAAGCTTCGGTGTCAAATCGATCTGTTTTTTGTCAGAACGTCCATGATGCTTGTACACGTGGGACACACGAAGGGCCTCCGTTTTCCAATCCCGCATCATGCCACCCAGATTGGCGACAGCTTTTCCACCCTCCAGGTTTCTCCGGCCCTCCTTGGCCCTTGACGTGAATGCTTCGAGCGCAGCCTTGGATATTTCATCGCAACGGAATTGAGCGAGGAGTTCTTGTTGGGTGGGAAGATCAAGGTCCTTGTTCGACGAGACTTGTTCCTTTGATCGTCTGAGATTCATACGCCGAAGTTGCGGCAGGTAGTACTCACCCAAATCGAGTCCATATACACACCAACACCATCTGCTGGGATTCTGCGACGATACCTCTCCTTGAAAAATCCGGTAGGTCCGAAGGTAAACCTCGTCCGAAGGGACTTCACGTCCGCCTCGAACTTGTCCGGCATGAGAATTTTGTGCGCCAGTCCCACATATTCAAGATCAAAGTAATCCGTCAACAACCGTGATTCGAGACCTTCAGGCTGTAGAGCGTGTCAGAAGGAAGTAGGGGATATGCCCAGCAATTACCTTCGACACGGATGCCCATATGCGCTCGATATCCGCAGTCAACGTCGCTGAAAGGTTTGTAAGTGGCGTGGCTCCGACGTGATCCCGAATAACAAAAAGAAGTAGTGTCTTTTGATCGGTTCTGATTGATACATCAGATACAGGTCTCTGATCGTGTAGACGTTCCCAACGTACTTTCCAAACAGGGACAGGTTCACTTCGATCACCGTCTTGAGCAACGCCATGTTTGCTCCTTGATACAACCCAATCTGGTGCTCCCATAGGTTGACAAGCAGAATTTGGGAGGATGCCAGTGAGAACAAGGCAGACTTCCGCTCGAAATCCTGGTCCTCGCCGCGTTCACGACCATCAGTTCCCTCAACGTCCATGACGAGGACGGGAAGATCATCCGCCCGGCACATCCAAATGCCTGACTTATCATTAGACAAGAGTCTGTTAATGTCATAAAGCAGCGTGCCTTTGGTTGTTTGTCGGCGTTGAGTTTCGTCCATGACATCGAACGTAGTTCCGAACAGCTTGTTCAAAAGAGTACCTAGCAAGCGTATCAGGCAGCACACCAATAACGCGGAGCAGGAGTGCGCACTCTTCCCCGTAGATTGAGAGCCAAAGACAGCGACAACATCATAATCAAAACCAGCACTCCGCAATCCCCACTTGTCAATCCATTTGCTAAGGTCCGCACTGTACGCGCGTGAGTTGGGGACTTGTTCCAGCATATATGAATCTGCTAACTTGAATTTTTTGTCCTCGTCGATGACTTGAACACGCATGCTAGCATCAGCATGTCCATTTGTTATGGACGGGGTCTGCACGCTGTCGGAAATCATGGTGGTTTGCAGAGAAAGTGAGGATAGGAGGGTTGGTCGTTGTAACCCTGTCTGTCGTCCCCAAACTGCGACGCGGGACGCACCGCAACGTCACACCCCCGGAGTTACTCATTTATTTCGGCTCCGGGAAGGGTCCGACTCGAGGACCCTGACCTCGGATTGGTTGGCCAACTGAAAGTTCGTCGAATCCATTGAATGCCCTAGCTAGATGTTGCAGCGGCCCCTCCCTTGGGGGCTCCTGAATACGTTCTGGAGACGCCAGCTATTCCAGTCACGTTTTATCTCAAGTGCATTACCACGGCTTGAAAAGGAGCACAAGCCATTCTACGCAACCACGCCGATCTACTACGTCAATGCAGGCAAGCATCAGTTGAAACTACCGTTGGATTCTTGCTCATCTATCTACAGCCCCTCATATAGGTCATCTCTATTCCTCAGTAATTGCCGATGTCGTGGCGCGATGGTCCCGCCTCCGTCATCCCGATCGACCAGTCATACTGTCAACAGGCACGGACGAGTTTGGTATGAAGGTCCAGCGCGCGGCATTCACCGCAGACAGGGACCCAAAAGACTTTTGTGACATCGTGAGCCAGAATTTCCGAGTAAGTATGGTCTTATTTTATGATGAACTCCCTGTTGAATTGTAACAGGATCTGGCGGACGCCGCAAACATTCGTTATACCCGCTTCATACGAACGACTGAACAGGTTCATCAAGACACGGTACAGTGGGTCTGGGTACGTGCAATTGTTTTAACTTGTCTCGAAGGCAACTCTTACTCTTAGTAGAAGGAACTTGTAAAACGCGACCAAATCTACAAGGGGAGCCATTCGGGTTGGTATTGCGTAGCGGACGAATGTTTCTACCCCGATACTCAGATAGAAATGAAAGATGAGCGCCGTGTAGGTCGCCGCTCGCCGCTCATTGCTGCGTTATACTGACTATTCTCTAGGTCTCCAAAGAGACTGGCCGCCCTGTGGAATGGTATGAGGAGGAGAACTACATGTTTCGGCTATCCGCCTTCCAGGAACCCCTCCTAAAGTGGTTAACTGTCAATCCCGAAGGTATTGTAACTCCCAGAATGTATGATGGATGCTGAACATTCTCAGCAATTGTTCCGAGCAAACGATATAAGGAGGTGGTGAATATCGTGCAGGATATAGGCAACTTGCGCGATCTGTCTGTTTCACGCCCTAGATCGAGACTTGGGTGGGGGGTTCCAGTACCTGACGATCCGGAACACACAGTTTACGTGTGGTTGGATGCGCTTGTCAATTATTTGACCGTTACCGGATATCCCTGGGATGGAGATACTTCTTCCCTAGCACACGGCTGGCCAGCAGATGTACAGGTCGTTGGCAAGGACATCGTGAAGTAGCAGACCCTTCTCGTCTCTAATCTCATATCTGATAATTGGAACAGATTCCACGCCATATATTGGCCTGCATTCCTTATGGCTGTGGGCCTGGATCTTCCCAAACAGATTCTTGCTCATGCGCACTGGACGATGGATCGAAAGAAGATGTCCAAGAGTGAAGGGAATGTCGCCGACCCAAACGAAGCCATCTCAAGATATAGTGCTGATGTTGTACGGATGTATTTGTGTTCAGCTGGCGGCAACTTGACAGATGATGCTGGTACGTCCAACATCTGATCTCCTGCACCAATTTCTTAAGCCTATTAGATTGGTCGAACGAGCGGCTGCAGGGATTCTATAATGGAACCTTGCGACACAACCTCGGTAACCTTCTCCCCCGCATGATGAGCAAGAATATCATTGGCAGAGCGCGTTTGCAGAAGTCCGTCTATTCGGGAGAAGAAAACGTGAATGAGGAGGACAAAAAAATTCACGACCTTCTGAAACAACTGCCCGGTATTGTGGAAGAGCACATGGATCGGAGAGAATTTGGTCATGCTGCCAATGCTTTGGAGCACTGCATCACCGAAGTAAGTTGTGGAATCGCAGATGGACTTCATATCTGATTGCGCGTCTTAGGCGAATGGATACTTCACACATTTGACCCCTTGGAAGACCACCCAACCAGTCGAATCGGTAGCGCGAGCCCAATTCTATTGCTACGAGACCCTTCGCATCGTCGGAATACTTTTGCAACCATTCATGCCGACAAAGGCATCCCAGCTATTGGATATTCTGAAAGTGACTGGTCGAGACTTTGGAGCTACAAAGATCGCCGCCGAAGGAGAAGGGGCGCAATTGCGTCCCGACACGATGGACATCCTCTTTCCGCCACTTGCAGAAGAGAACAGCAATCCTGCTCAGATGATTAAGAAAACCAAGAAGGAAAAGAAGAGACAAAGATAACAAGATGGCCGCTGCAACTGTAACGGCAGAAACAAACGCTGCCACTCTGGAGTCTGTTGGTACAGAAAACTCCTGCCGTCGGCCGCTGTAATTGACCGTGGTATCTCAGCGATTCTGGCAGCACTGCTCGAGAAAGCTCTAAGAAAAAAGGTAGGATCAGACAGGACACAGCAGGAACGATGAAAGCGTCGGGTGTGCCAAATTCGGGAAGAAGGAAGACGGCAATCTCATGCTTTCTCTGCATCACTATTGTACATTGATTTCAACACGTATCTATCACCTGCATGAACAATCACACTCGACTCATCTACTTAACACACTGAACATCGTTATTGTCTTAAACAACAAACACATCAAAAGCCCTTGGCGTAGTCACTAGTCTCGAAGAACTTGTCGATGCGTTGGGTGAGCTGCCCAAGGGCGTTGAGCCATTCGTCGAGCTGCTGGAGAACTCGGTCCTCCGGCTCGCCGAGTGACTTCAATAGGCTAGCGCGATGAGGAACCGCCCTCACAGCGACCTATGGTATTTGTCAGTATTGCACGGAGACGAAATCGATGTGAACTACTCACACTGAAGACACCACGAGTAATGAAGCTGTGATGGGCCCTGAGGGTCTCGCCATAGGAAATGTTGAAACTCTCTGAGAGTGCGCTGTCCGCGTGGTCATAAGAATGCTTCAGGCCAACGTAGGTGAATCGAAGACCGCTGTGACCCAATTGTCAGGGCGTTAAACGGAGTCGTTTCAGAAGTACACATACCGGTTCAGCCAGAGCAAGCCCTGGGTTGCTGTGCGATTCTTCTCGCCTTGCTCGTTTACCACCAACATTTCGATGGTACGCGACTTCTCACCAGTTGCGTCGTACCGTTCACGAAGTTTCTTGATGTTGCCATTGATGTCGCTCTGGACAACGCTGAATGCGGTCGAGTTGAATAGAGCTGGGTCGGGATTAGTGGGCGAGATAGGGGCCGGTGTCTGAGGACGTACTGAACATGTTCGAGAGAGCCTCCGCAGCTTGCAGGAATTGAACTGTCTCAATTCCATCTGGGCCAACCTCAACGTTGGCGAAGTTCTGGTAGAAGGTGGATGAGCACCTCTTCGACGACTACCGAACGAAATGCGTTACCATCGCAATGGTATCGAAGTAAGTGGGCATGATGAGTGGTGGTAGGTAGTGAGCTGTGAAATTGGATTGGCCAAAGCGTAAGATGGTTGGTTGAAATGGGTCTGAGTGTGGTATTTAAGTAGGCGAAAGAACAAGGCTGTATGGGATAGTAACGGACGATGACACCGATGGACCTGAAGCACGTCCGAGGTGAGGCCCCTTCCCCAGCGTGGGCGGTGTTCATCCTACGGAGCCGAGCTCGCGTGGCTCTTCCGAGAGACGCGTGAGAGCCTGCCCTGAACTGCAATGGAAGGCGCGTCGAGGAAGGCAGAGGGACGCGTTCTCCATGCACACCATCCACTTGTATTCCTCCTCTGGCTCAGTCTCTCAACAATGTCTGGATTTGATGCAAACAGGATATATGCTGTCTCAGGAATACCGGGTTCTAGTGCCTCTGCTGCTGACGGCGGTGACACCTCTAGGTCATCCGCTGCGGCGCACAACTTCTACGAGTTCGTAATGCGTTTTCGGCAGTCGAATGAGTTCAAGTATCGGTCAGTCACGCGCTGTCTTCACATCCGTCGCGGTTGATTGACAATACCAAAGGGATCGTCTCCGAGCCAACTTGTTGTTAAAGAACTATGTCCTCAGTGTTTCTCTCAAAGACGTAGGAATATGGAACGAGGACCTACTGCACGCCATTCAGGATAGGCCAACGGAGATGGTGCCCGCGGTGAGTCGCGTACTTCGTTGTACCTTCTTCGTGGGTTGAATTTGCTCTGCAGTTTGAGACTGCTATTACTCGCGCCGCCCATCAAATCCTCTACCCTCTAGACCCCAAGGCGTCCGACACTATCCCCGACTGTCAGATCATCCTCACGTCTGAGGCAAATCTCTTCCAATTCCGCGGCCTTTCTGCACCTACATTCTCCAAGCTCGTTCGAGTACCTGGTATCGTAATTCAAGCTGCTGTACTCTCTTCTCGCGCCACTCGCCTTCATCTCCAGTGTCGCTCCTGCCGGCATGTCAAGATCATCCATCCTAGTCCTTCCCTTGGCTCTAGTGGACAGGACCTCCCTCGTCAATGCGAGTCTATTCCTCCCGAGGGCCAGAAAAAAGATTGTCCTCTCGATCCCTACCAAATCATACATGACAAGTCAGCTTTCGTTGACTGTCAAGTCATCAAACTACAAGAAGCGCCCGACATGGTTCCTGTCGGTGAGCTCCCTCGCCGTATGCTGTTGAGTGTCGAACGTGCCCTTGCCGGACGCCTCGTTCCCGGCACTCGAGTAATAGCCACGGGAATCTATTCGGCTTACACTCCATCGGGACGCCAGAAAGGCGGTGAAGCGGCTGCGGTCAGAAACCCCTACTTGAGGGTGCTGGGTCTGGAGGAGTTGCGGGCTGGTGCCGCTGGTGGTGGTCCATTCGGCATGCGTTTCAGCCCGCAGGAGGAGGAGGAGTTTGGCAGGATGAGCAGGCAGCGAAATTTCTACGAGACATTTGCAGCGAGCGTCGCGCCTAGTATCTTCGGTAACGAGGGTATGTCTATACGTCTTTTTCGTTCCAATTGGTGCTAATCCTTCTGGAAGACATCAAGAAAGCTGTTTCTTGTCTCCTTTTTGGAGGAAGCAAGAAGATTCTACCCGATGGCATGCGGCTCCGTGGGGACATAAATGTTCTCCTCCTCGGTGATCCCGGTACCGCAAAGAGTCAACTGCTCAAGTTTGTCGAGAAGGTCGCTCCCGTTGCAGTGTATACCAGCGGCAAAGGATCATCTGCTGCTGGTCTGACGGCGAGTGTCCAGCGAGATCCAACTACTAGGGAATTCTATCTTGAGGGTGGGGCAATGGTGCTCGCCGACTCAGGAGTCGTCTGCATCGATGAGTTTGACAAGATGCGAGATGAAGACCGAGTCGCCATCCACGAGGCCATGGAGCAGCAGACAATCTCGATTGCAAAAGCCGGTATTACAACTGTACTCAACAGTCGCACGAGCGTCCTCGCTGCCGCCAACCCCGTCTTTGGTCGCTACGATGACATGCGGACGCCCGGCGAAGTGAGTTACGATTATCGTCAACAGACAGCTAACTGACCCATTCAAATAGAACATCGATTTCCAAACTACAATCTTGTCTCGTTTCGACATGATTTTCATTGTACGCGATGAACATGACGAGCAGCGTGATCGAACGATCGCCAAGCACGTCATGAACATTCACATGGGTCGCACCAACAACGAAATCGAGGGTGAGATTGATGTCGACACCATGAAGCGATATATAGCGCACGCTAAAGCGTGAGTGGTTACTCGTGATCTTGGATGTGTATGCTCATGTACTTGATAGCAAATGCGCCCCACGCCTCACGCCTGAAGCGGCTGAGATGCTCAGCAGTCATTTTGTCAGCTTGCGCAAACAGGTTCAGCAGGTCGAGCGTGACACCAACGAACGAAGTTCTATTCCTATTACTATTCGTCAACTGGAGGCTATTATCCGTATTTCAGAATCTCTGGCGAAAATGACACTATCACCAGTCGTCGGCGAGCACCATGTTGACGAAGCGATTCGGCTCTTCAAATTCTCAACTATGTCTGCCGTAGAGGCTTCGACGTCGTCCTTAGACGGGCTCTCGCGTGGTGAGATGACGGATGAGATTAATCGCATCGAGAAAGAAATCCGCCGGAGGCTGCCAGTCGGGTGGAGCACAAGTTATCAAAGCCTGGTGAAGGAGTTCTGTCAAGGTCAGGGTTACTCAGAACGAGCGCTGGAGCGCTGCCTATGGGTGCTGGAAAAGCGCGAGGTAGTGCGTTTCTCGGGACAGAAAAAGATTGTTCATCGGATGGGCGTGTAATATTTTGTGGTTTGTTCTGGTACTCCTTTGTATTTGTCGCAGTAATTTCATTCGTATATCACGGCATTTCACAGGCGGGCCGCCCCGCGTCACCTCAGGGCCTCCACCTGCATCCTATGTCGCAAGTCTGCAAATCCTCCAGTATGCCGGGTACTTAAACTACTCGGCGGCGCTTGGCACACTTCGCCAACGCCGCCAGAGCACATGAACATCATGGCCAACCTCACCGCTATCGCCAAAGACCTTGCACCTACTGGAACGCTACGTGCCTCCATTAACATCGGCAACCCCATCCTTGCACAAGGTACCCTCGACGTGCCAACCGGCCCCACCGTCGACATCTCACACGAAGTTGCGCGCCGCCTTGGTCTGCCTTTGCAACTCATCGCCTTCAATGCTGCACGCAAATCGTTTGAGGCGATGAACGAGGGGCGGGCTGACATCTGCTATCTTGCCATCGAGCCCGTCCGCGCCGCCGAGGTTTCCTTCACCGCTCCATACGTCCTCATTGAGGGCGTCTTTGCTGTTCCGGTAGACTCGCCTATCAAGACTGTCGAAGACGCTGATAAGCCTGGCGTTCGCATTGGCGTCAACGAAGGCTCTGCGTACCACCTGTACCTCTCTCGCACCCTCAAGCATGCTACCTGCGTCTTTGGCGACGGTGACGGTCAGGACGTTTTCCGCGCCAACAAGCTTGAGGCTGCCGCCGGAGTTCGCGGTCCGGTGTTGGCCTACGTCGCTAAAAACCCTGATCTCCGAGTAATTCCGGAGCGATTCATGGTTATTCAGCAAGCAGTCGGCATCAAGAAGGGCAAGTCTCCGGAAACGGTTCAATGGCTCTCGGATCTAGTTGGCGAGTTGAGGGCAAGTGGATTTGTGGCACAAGCTCTTGAGCGAGCAGGGCAGGACCCAGCTTTGGCTGCTCCGCCCGATGCTACAAGCTGATTGTTCTCGATCTGTGATTACTTGTAGGAGAGCAGCACAGGATGCCGAATTCGAATGGAAATCTCACTAGACAATGACGATATCAATAGATATTACACCCTGCACCTCCGGTGCTTCCTCACACAGCGAAATACGGTCCCACCTACGCGCAGGCGCTAATGCAAGGGAACAGAAATAGTCACCGGCCCAAAACACACAGGGTTACAAGCACCACCATTAATGCAACCCTGATTGTAACCTCAATCCTAGCAGTGGGGTAAGGGCTCTGTCCTCCATGATACATCTGTAACGACCATTTGCCAACCGAATAGGGTTAGGGTTAGGGTTAGGGTTAGGGTTAGGGTTAGGGTTAGGGTTAGGGTTAGGGTTAGGGTTAGGGTTAGGGTTAGGGTTAGGGTTAGGGTTAGGGTTAGGGTTAGGGTTAGG